AGGTTTAAGTCAATGTTTCAACAAGAGTGCATGTGCATTAAAATGAAATATATATTAGGCCATACTGAGTCCTTCACAGAACTATAGACTCTTCACTTCATGTATATCCATAATCTTTGTGGATTTGTAAAAACTGGAATTTCTCTTCTTTATCATCCTCTGATTTGAAAGGCTCAGTTGGTTCCATTTGAAAGGAAATTCCTGGTCTTGGAAGGGTTTGGGTTTTCTATATTTACTAAGTCCAGTAAACCCTGAAAAGCCATCGGAACTCCAAAAAATGATAGCCAGAGTGGTGAAAACCCACAGAATCCACTGCTGTTTGATGTTCAGACCAAAATACAAGTGCTAAAGGAAGTAAATAAAACTAGAGTTAGGATTGGTGCTCAAGCAGAAATTCCACAGTGTGGCAAGCTCAGGACTGTTGCAGTAATAACACCTAGTCATCCAATGATGTATTACTGGTCTCTTCCTCACAATAATTAAGTTGATACAGATTCCCAGAGAAATTTGCTTCTCGCTGATTTTCCGTATAATTTCATTCTCACATTATTCAGGGAAGTATGTAGGTAGTAGTAGGTTTTATGGAATTATTATGTTATATAGAATGAGGAAAGAATGAGGGGAGGAAAGAAAGCATATTGTTGAACAAATGTTCTGGTGAAGGTTATGTTTTGCTAAATTAATCTGGGAATCTTGGGTTACAAGAACCTTATCCTTTATCCTTATGGTTCCTTCATAGACCATGTGGACATAGTGTTTTAAACAAGAAAGAATGTTTAAAGAGTTTTGGTTGTTATGGGAGTTAACTTGGTGTACCTCCAGCTGTCCTTATTTGTGGGAAAGCTTCATCTTTATATTGAAATGCACATTTGAGAAAATTCAAGAGTGGTTATCCAATGGGCTCAAGTTTTTTTGTATTAGTTTATTTACTCATGATCAGATTCTAATTCATTCATTCATTTGGCAAAGTGTCAAAAACCCAGAATAGCCAAAAAGATTAATGAACACTGCTTCAGCGTGGTGTAGTGGAATGCTTTATCCAATAGTTCCTGTTTGTTAGTGAAATATTTCCCCCTGTATAACAATTAACTTGTACATATAGTCCCTGAGTGGTATAGATGTTTAAGCATTCAACTACTAGACTGTAGGTTGGAGGTTAAAATCTACCCATAAGCTCTTAAGAAGAAAGACCTGTCAATCTGCTTCTGAAAGATCACAGCCTTGGAATCCCTGTGGTTGCCAGGAGTCAAAATCAGCTCCAGAGTAATTAATAACAACAATAATAAATACATGATACCATTTATTTATTTACATTTCCTCATTTATTCCAAAAATATGTCTTTTTTAAATGCCTGCTCTGTGCTAAGTACTTTGCTGGGCTCTGGAAGCTCAGAAAGAAATGTTATTGCCTTCAAATTGCTTCCACTTGAGGACACCTATTGGTAGACCATTAGCTGTAAGGCAGTATGAATACTATTTAGTGGTCTAACGTTGGTTTGAGCTGCCAAGTCGGCAGTTCAAGATCACCAGCCACTCCTTGGTAACTCTATACAGGCTCACTATGAGTCAGAATTGACTTAATTACACTTAACAACAACAACAACATCCTAGTGTGGTGCTGTGGAATAAAGTACTGGACCGCAAGGTCATTTTGAACCACAGGGTCAGTGGTTCAAACTCACCAGCTACTCCTCGGAAACACTATACTGGTTTGCTATGAGTCAGAACTGACTCGATGGCAGCCTTACAATTATGGAGTCCTGGTGTGGCACTGTGGGTTAATACATTGGATTGCAAGGTCAGTTTGAACCGCAAGCTCCCAAGCCACTTCTCAGAAACCCTATAAAGGGTCACTGTGAGTCTTAACAGACTCAACAGCACCTAACATCAACAACAACTATACATAAAAGGGGAGGGAGTCCTGGTATGACGCTATACGATAAGCACTTGACCTAAAGGTCAATTTGGCAGTTGAAACTGCCAGCTGCCACTCAGAATCCCTATACAGGGTTGCTGTAAATCGGAACCAACTTAACTCACTTTACAACAACAATGCATAAAAAGGAGTCCTGTTGTGGTGCTGTAGGCTAAGTGCAAGGTCAACAGTTCAAACCCACCAGCTGATCCTTAGAAATACTATACAGGGTCACTATAAGTCAGAACTGACTCCACAGCATTTAACAACAAATTGAAAAATACAGTCCTGGCGTGGTGCTGTAGGATAAGCACTGCTAACCACAAAGTTAGTGGTTCAAACCCACGAGCTGCTCCTCAGAATCCCTATATATGAATTGGAACCAACTCTATGGCATTTAACAACAACAATGGAAATTACAAGGAGCCCTGATGATACATGGTTAAGAGGCTAGGCTGCTAACCAAAAGGTGGTGGTTGGAATCCACAGCCACTCCTTGGTAGAGCAGTCTGCTTCTGTGAAGATTGACAGCCTTGAAAACCCTAGGAAGCAGTTCTACTCTATCCTAGGGATTGCTGTGCATCA